AAAAGTGTGCAGCTTTATACATAATTAAAAGATGCACAAAGGATTCTCACTCAGAAAGCTTTCCTCAATGCTGATGGAAATTCCGCGAATTTTGGTCTTGTTTTGTGAAGAATACTTCGAATTTCATCAAAAATTCTCTTGAGACCATGTGACTCCCTGGCCTTTTCAAAAATGCACTTCGGATCTAGATTATGAAATGACTCACGCAAAGCAGCGATTCAACCTATACGAATAATGCATGATATGTCATCAGTGTAAGTCTTCACAATGGAAGAAGATAAAATATTGACCGTTTAATTTCCGCTATTCATCTTTCGAAATCATCATTCTTTGCCCATTTCAGCCCAACTGTCATTGATTTATTAAGGTAATTTTTCTATGAATAACGCATCAACAGGATATTGAAAATTGTGTTCTACTTAAAGTACAATAAAATGGAAACAAACTCGAGTGTTTCAAAATATCATTTTTTTTCGCATTGAAAAAGTTGATGCGAAAATCTTGAGGATACACGCGTCTTCAATCAACAAAAACTTTAAAATTGCGGGCCAACAATCAATCAGCACATTCCTGAAGCTTTTTCATTTATATTTTTGCAGTATTAGGTGTTACAAAAAATTCAAACACTGAAATAAGTGACGCCAAAAGACCAAAATATATGCTAAATTGTTTTCAACGAACTTGAAAACTGTCAAGTTAAAAAAACACGTTTGATATAAAATTCGAGGAATTTCGAAAACAAGTTTGATGGATTTATTATAGAAGCAGAAAAGGATGATGTCTACGAAATTCGAATTCTCAACTTTGTTTTGTCAAAATCCGACGACAACGGTTTAACATTTATCGATCGAAAAAGTTACTTTACGTGTGGAACGCAATCAGAGTCACAAAGTTTAAGATCCTCTCGAAATTTCAATTTACACGGATTTATTTTAGCAAAGAACTGGAATAGAAACAAAAAGACAAATTGCTTTCAGCTTTGGACTTGAAGCAAGCCTCGGAAAATTGCGTAAAACTTTCTTCAATTGACATTCCAATCAGTATTTTAAATTTTTGTAATCCTGCAGACTCGCAAAATATACAGTGGAATCTGGTAACAACGAATCTCGTTTGAACGAATAATTGATTACAACGAATTCGTCTTTTAGGTCCCTGCTGCCCAATAGCAGCAATTATATTTTTGAGGTCGTTTATAACGATTTTTTCGTTATAACGAAGCTATTTTGCAAGTCCCAATGGCTTTGTTGTACAGAGATTTTCTGTATTATGAATTAGACAATAATATGACGATGAATATGTGATACATGCATCATGTGTTTTTTTTTCGGTCAGCACAAAAGTTTTCGTTTATTTCCTCGAGATTTTCGTATCAGATTTACGAAGCCATTAAAGGATATTCTCATTGCAATTTTGAAATAATTATATCGAGTTTATTTCCATTTTATTTAAGCTCGAGACACCATTTACAATATATTTTTTATGCTTTGTTCATGGAAGCGTTAACTTTCGAAAATTCGATTATATTACAGTAATCAAAGATGGCTTCAAAACGTAGTTCTTCATCGCTCATTATTTTTGGAATTTTGGGTGGATTTTACAGCTAGAAAGAAAGTCATGGTGTGCAAACCAAAATAACTGGATGACCTTAAAAAAAATACATGTTTCGGTCATCCTTTCGCAGTTCTGTAATTCATTGCCTTCACTGAAGCATGATGAGTTTAAAAAAAGATCCAGGGTTATTAAAAAAGAATGATGCCGTGCGAAAAAAGTTTGCGTGTGCAACTAATAAAGCAGTTGGAATAACTGACTTGCACAATTTATGAGAGGACCATCCATCACACAAGGGCTGACAGAGAAATTTTTTAAATCTTGAGTTTTCCTAAATAGCTAAAGTTTTTGTTGAATACATGCAGTTGAATATAATTTTTTGCAGAGTAAGAGTAGTTACTTTTTGCGCCATGATGAAACTTTACCTCATTACAGATCTTTGTTATTCAAAGGAAAAATACTGCCATCCAAGTAAGTTTTGGGTGACAAGAACAGGTAAGTTCATGAAAAGTGCCAAAAATAGATGATAGGCAATTCAAGAAGCTTCTCATGAGTATTTCCAGAGCTTCCTTCCAGTCTTTCATCCATATTTCCAGCAGTGATCCCACAGTGAGCTGGAGGATTCTGACCAACAAAATTGCAATACTCCATTGCAAAAAAAAGTGTTGAATCAACACTTACAAAATATTGTCACTACAACAAGCAGCAAAAAGTTTTACATAACAAATTCAGGTTTGGCTGCCATTTTGACTTATACCAACAAACATGCCTTGAGGAACAAACATCAAGTCAAAAAGAAAACAGAAGAACAAATTATTGTCAACACAAAATTATAAAAATACAAAAATCTAAAATGTTAATAATGAAAGCATATTTTCAAATAGTAATTCTGCACAGTGTGATTTTAAAATTTTGCTATATTGTCAATTATTTTCAACTTGGAATTTTTTTATTACTGTTGCTTTCTTTTTGTTCCCTATAATTTGTGTGTCAATTTTTTTCTTTTAAACCTTTATTTTACGGTTTTCTGGATTTAATTGATTGATTTTCCATTGTAACCTAGGATACATTTTGATTTAAAGAACAAATGCCTTGAGCAACAAACCAGTTACTGCAATTGAAAAGATTTGCTCAAGACTGCACTGCTGCTGTAAGTCTTACCTTATTTGTTTTCTCAATCACTGCAATAATATCATATTCCTGAATTTTCACAATGATGATCATTTGATGTTCTGCTCTACATTCAGTGAAAACCAGTTCATAGAAGCAAGTGATCAACTGTGCAATTCCATGCAGGCAAACCTCAGGCAAAATTGTTGTGGACTGGCACATGTCTGCAGACCATAGCTTGGGGAACAATGATCTAGAATTTTAGATTACACTGTTCTTCAGTTAATTTGGACAAGAAAAACAATTTGACCTATAGGGAGTTTCAAGTTAGCTCAGTCCAACATTCCATGATTGTGAAATTTTGCAAAGTATACCTGTATATAAAAGCGGTGCCAAAGCAGAGATTTTTCAGATAAAAAAAAACGTGTTCCACTCATCCTCACCAAGATGAAGTCTCCCAAGCTGTGTCGAAAGTGTTCCAGAACTTGTTCAGCATACTGAACAAAAACACGGATACATTCCCACAACCATTCATTCAATTTACGCATTCATGATGATACACATCGAACACAAAATGTATGAAAAAAAAAGATTAAACACGTAGTTTATTAATATATAAGGTATGTATAGTTTACCTGACGGGGTCTTTCGAGTCGGAGGTCTTCAGGACCCGATTCTTTTGGCATGATGACACTGGCAGTTCGCTCAGCCAAATGCCGCAATTGGGCTTGTGCTGAGGAGAGAAGACTTGTGTCAATTCCTTGCTGATTTTGGCTGAAGCCAGTTGTTTCTGAATTTTTGCTCAGAGGTTCCATTGATGCTGCTGCTTGTTTCCCTCCTGGGCTTGAATTATTATTTCCTGTGAATTACAAGAAGACATAATTTTGATTTTTTAGCTTTAAAAAAATGAAGGAGTTCATGTGCAGGGGTACCTTAAGTGAGACCCCAAGATGCGGACATAATTGGTGCATCAAGAGTGTCCCCAGGTAAAAATGTCCCTAAGTCAAGTCTTGTTTCCCCACAGACTTATACATTATATAATTTTTAATTGGTGTTTTCTGGAAGAAATATTCTTCAGAATTCCCTGAAAAAATTGTTTTCCACTTGAAGATTAAATTCGGTATTGTCTTAAACTGGTCAAAACTTAGACATTTACAATATTTTAGATAGAATAATGAATAATGACCTTCCGCAAAAAATATGCATCACATTTCTCTTTCAAATTAACTTAAGTTACTTTCAAGGTGAAAAAAGGAATTTGTTCTTTATAGAAATTAGGAAATTCTATATTTTACAAGAACAAGAACAAATAAAATTTGCAAATAATTTTCTTTATGCTCTCCACAAGGGATTATATGCATCTTAATTCCTGCAGGCAATAAATCTATAGAGATGCAATAATTTGGACAGAAAGTACTGTATAGTTTCTGTTGTTAAATCTACCCAAGTTATCTCAATCAAAAGTTTAATTTCTCTGGAGTCCCATAAAATTTATAAAAGTTCAATTGAAATGCTCAAATATATCCAAAGACTATTACCTCCATTTTGAGGTTTTTGCTGGTCACTGGAAGGTCGGTTTGTTTGTGAAGTTCGGACAGCAGATCCCTGAGCAAAGGAATTCCTCGAATTCTGACCATTTCCAGACATTGGCCGAATATCCTCGCTGTTTTTGGCGAACAAAGGCGACGAATTCCCAGCAACACTCGGAACAGGTTCTTTCTTCTCATTCTGATGCTGGCGACGAGCTTGTGAAAGAAAAACATCAGTGAGCACAACAATGCTGAAAATTCGTTGTTTTTCTATCGCAACTTTCAAATTTTTCTCGGAAGAACAATAACCAGCTCAGAAAAAATCAATGTTGATGCGATTTTTCGCAAGAAGGAGACTGGTCTCAATTTTTTTTCCCGGAAAGAAAAGAAAGAAGAAAATTCTTGGGTTAAAATTGAAAAACGCGTTGAATGATGAGGATATGAAAAATATTTCTCCCTGGAATCTTTCAAAGTAGTACATTTTCAAATGAGGAATTTAAATTTTACTGACCTACTCCTCATGACAGGGTAAATAAGGCATCATTTTTCATTGTAACCTTTCAAGAAGTAATTTAAGAGCTTATTTTCCTAGCAACGTAAAATGCATTTAATTAATGTTTGAAAATGGTTTTATAGGCTTATCCAATGAGGCAGGTCTTTTTTTGCGGAAACTTTGCGAATCATTCATAGGTGTCACTGTCACATGAATTATTGACTCGACAAAAATAAGCATCCAAAAGATCATATTCTAGGAATCAAAGAGGCATTGATTTTCCAGCAAGCAGAAAACTCTAGTTTTATATTGCAAAGACCATAAAACTTCAAAATTTCTTATATTGATTTTCCGGCTTTTTAAATTCAATCTTATGTCAGTTTAGCAAAATTTTCTGGAAAATGCAAATTACCATTGACTCTGGCATCATGAATCCTATGCAATTCCGCTGCAATATTGGCTGCTACTTCATCCATGGCATTGTGCTGAGAAGCATTTGTCTCCAAGCCTGAAAGATAAATTAAAAAAAAAATTAAAAGTAAGTTATAATTTGAAAATGTTTTCTTGAGAGAAATGTTCCCATAATATCAATAAATTGAGAAGCAACCTCTCTGTGCAATGGCTCCTGAGACCCTGTGTATTTCAGAGATAATTATACATAAAATTCAACAATAAAAAATCAAAAGTCATTTGAAAGAAGAAATGTTGGTTCATTTCAATGTTGGTTCAACACCTGGTTCAAGATTAAAAAAAAATATCTGTAAATGGTTAAAGTTATTTTGGCTGATGCATGGTGTAGATCAGATTCAAAATATGATGGCCTTTAAAAAACAAAAGAAAAATAAAATTGCTTTGCAAGTTCACAGCATACCGTTATTCCACAAACTCCAAATCCATATTAAGGAGTGACTGAACACTCTTAATATATCTCAAGTGTTCATTGCTGTTCTGGTTTCAGTTGAGTACATTGTGTATGGGAAATATATTATTCAAACTCAGTAAAAGAGCTCTATTCATTTCACATTGTCCCTGCCATAAGAATGAACACTTCTCAACATAAATTATTCCTAACAGGTAATTAGAGAGCAAAGTTAACTCACAGCAAAGGACACTTGAGGCAGCATTTGCTCTCTATTTCCAAAAACGTTAACAGTTTAGGATAATAACATATACAGTATATCTCAGAAGATTTCAGGAAGAAATCTTATGATTTCTTACTGGCTCACAACTGGCCAATTGAGGCAAAATGGAATAATAAATGATGACTGCTTTTGTGCTCTTGGATGAGGCTCAGCCAGCTTCATCACCAAACAGGATTTCGGCAAGTTAACCCACCTCACAACAAGAAAACAAAGTTCAGCAGCCAATTTTGGCTGGAACAGCTTTGCCACATTTGGGGAAATAATGCCCAAAGGTACCCACTGGGGCTAAATAGGGTATTAAACATGTAAAATCATCCTCACCTCCTTGATGACGGTTGCTGTCGATTTCAGTGGAAGTGACAGGGGCAGCATGAGCATCAGATGGCAATGATATGGTGATCAGGGCAATTGCTAGTGCACCCACGCACCAGCGTTGCTGTTGGTTCAGACCCATTATCACACTTTATTCCACCCCACTCTCTGTGTGTGCATATGTGTGTGTATATGTATATGGGGAACAAAAGCAATAATGACAATAATAATGAGGACCAGCTTTTGCAGTGCAAGAGAATTTCTGCACCCCTACATGTATTTCTAATTTTTGAAAAGAGGGCTTTCATACCCCCTCTCTCTCTCTCTCTCTCTCTCTCTCTCTCTCTCTCTCTCTCTACAAGGAAATTCAAAGGAACCAGAAAAATGTGCTGCAGATCAGCTAGTGTTGCCCAACATCCTTGGGCCCACTGACCAAAAAATGTCCATAAAAATGGTTGCAGACAGGCAAATTTCCCAAAATTTTTTTGTGGACTGGCAAAGTTTCATAAAATTTTTGCAGACTGAAACATTTTGCTTGAAACTTGGAAGACTTTAAGGCACACAATGAAAAAAGTTTATGTTTTTTTGTGCAAAAATTATGAGCCAATAAATAAAAGCAGCAATATAGTGGAATGTCTTCAAGAAATTAAAAAGGTGGGCTTGAAAAGAAGTTTCTCAGAATGAAATATTGAAATAATTCATTTGAGCTGGTGAAATTTTGTTGTAAGCGTCATTAGGAGGAAACCCAATTTTTATTTCTATATCAGATTATTTCCACTGCCATCCTCTATCTGCCATTTCAGAAAAAAATAATGGCCGACTTCATTGCCACTTTTTTTAATAGATTGTGCAGCAGAAACCCCCTCTCAGGCACATACTTTGTAATGACAAAATGTTCTTCATTGAAATTTAGAATAGCATGGTGGATATTGGGTATATGGCCTTAACATGAATATTTGTAAGCAATACTTTTTGGAAACCAGATTCTTTTTTGGAATATTCTCTCACACCATTTTGACTTGAATACCATGCAACTGTGACTTTATTTTTGCAGCAGTAAACTTGAAAAAAAATGTGCCACAGCAGAAAAATGAAAATTTCAGGTAACAGTGATTATTTTGTGCTGTGATGCCAGGGATTTTAACTGCTAATATTTAAAAGATGAGGTGGGTTTTGTGCGTCTATGCTTCATAATTTATCTAAAAGGTCATGGTTATGCAATTCACAATTTTTTTTTCTTACTTCTCAAGATAAATTCACACCCAAGTATATGACATGGACATGAATTTTGTTACTGTACCAATTTCTGGGAAAAAATTGTACATGGTGCTTGAATAAATGCAGTAACACACAGTGCTGGTATTTATTCACATTATGAAAATCCCACAGAACAAACAATCCGCATGATTAGCACCACTGAAAACGCCTTCTGCTGCATATATACCTCACAGAGCAAATTACTGTATTATTTTTGCATAATGTACAGAACAGACTGGTCCTTCCACTATCGCATAAAGAACTCACTATTACTGGAATAATTTGCATTTATTTTGTCGAGTACCGCTATAAAACAATTTCAACACAATAATTATAGTAACAGAAAAAACTGTATTTTTGCCAAGTAAAATTACTTTTTAATGACTCAGAAACATTGCAGCAAAAGATAGAAAAATGCTGTCATGCAAGAATTTGTCATGAAACTGTCTTTTGCAAGGAAATTTTCCTGAAGTGGTGGTGGTTTTTCGTTTAGTTCTTTCATACTTCATGAAAAAAATTACAAGGCAAATTTTGGCTTTATTTTTGTAGCAGAAAACTTGGAAAAAAAGGCAGAAGATGCGCATCCCAGTTTACAGGGATTTTTTATTGTTGAAATTTCAGGGATTTTAACAGCTAATATTTCAAAGAAAAGGTGCATTTTATAAACCTGTGTTTTATAGTTTATCTGAAAGGTCAAAAAAATCAGTTCATTGAAAAGGTCATCTGAAAGCTTGATAAAAAAATATTTTTTCCAGCATTCCTTATTGATTAAAGTTGATCACTGTCCACCACAAGTAGATTCATCTCAGTCATATAAGAAAACATTTTCCTCTTATATGATCATCACAAAATGTTTTAGGGAGAAAAATACCTTAGAAACCATCCAAGAAGAAGCCACAGGAATTTAAAGGAATCAAATGCAAAAAATTTGAAATTTTGTTTATGCACACAAGTACTGTAGAACTAAAAAATAAACTAAGCAGTTTTTTAGTACCCCCCCCCCCTCTTCTCATTCTCATGAAAAGTGTTGCCAAACTTTTTGTCAATAATCTTGGGAACATTCCACATAGTTATTCTGTTGATGTGGGGATTATTCTTGGTGCAGTTCATTCAAATACTTTTCTTTTGCACATCTGGGGAACACATTATTTGAGTGTGTGGTGAAAAAGACCCAAAAGTTCACTCCATTTTTGAGAGTACCATCACAGAGCAGCACAGGCTCCTGTGGGAATAATGCGAGTCTCGCGCAGCAGAACATCCAGAAAAATTACCCATTGCAAGACAACAACTGCTTTTTTTTTCCAGAGTGCATCTGTGTTCCTCCACTTCATAGTGTATATACCACACTTTCGAACAAGTTCATTGATGGTTTAAAAGAAGAAAAAAAAGGCACAATGGAATGAGACATGGGAAAATGGAGAAGTGTGCCACGCCCCGCTGCGCAGCGCGTCGCCATATGGAGTCAACACCACCAATCCATCATATTCGTTGTTATGGGTCAGAATTCTATACAATATACACTGTAAAGGCATGAGGTTCTTCCTGATGATAACATTTTCTGCGCGCCATTTTCTGATGGGGAATACTACGTTTTTTTTCCCTTAGAAGAAAACAGGGAGTTCACCTGGATTCATAAACTTCAAAAGCTACAATTTTGGAAGTGACAGCCTCTGAAAAGGTGTGATCAATTGAAATTCTGAGAAAAATAAATCATATACACGGTGTATCTGAATGTGAAACATGATTTCCTTCAATTTCCAATTTTAAAATACAGTGAGACCCCAAAATGCGGACACCCTGACATGTATGGACAATTTGACTTAGGGATACTTGAAAATTTAAAAAATTGGGCCCAACATCCAGACAAAATCTCAATGTGAACACTTTTTCTGCATTTCTATGAAAATTGTATGTTTTAATTTTTAAAAATTTGGATATATCTTTTGAAAGAATTGAGCTATTTATATTCACAGCAGTTAAAAAAGAAGATCAATTTATATTTACTTTAATTTATAATCAAAAAATGGTGAATTTTGTGCTAATTTGTTTTAAACATTCTCATCTATTGTCATCTGTGTACAGGATAGCAACACATATGCTTTTTTTAATTTCTGAACCCTTTTAATTCCAGAGGATCATATTCTGTGTGGGTTCCTTTATTCTGCATAGTTCTATTCTGTATCTTCAATTAGTTGAGAAAAACATTTTTATTTGATTTTTAGGAAATTTATTCTTAATTTCCCATGAATTGGAGAACCAACTAAATAAGTTCCCAATGAAGTCTATGGAAAAATGAGGTTCAACATGTGGAAATTCCAACATAGGGACACTTTTCAAGCAGCAATTACATACACATCTCAGCATTTCACTGCATTTAATTCATTGAGGATATGCCATAAGTGTTGATATACAGTTTAGATATTGGTGTGGCGGAATAAATCGGTATGCTATTGTACTGTTCTCCGCACGCGGGTACCGCAAACACCTGCAATAAAGAATTTTGATCACTTTCAGGAATTCACAGGAACATTCCAGAACATTCTACTGGAACAAATTGACGCTGCCATTTTCAATCAATCTCAGTCAGTACACTATGAGATCTTGTTGAAGTTGGCTGTGTTTTTGTGTGATTGTTTTGCTGTGATTGTTATCTTGGGGTTAAAAACTGAAATATATTTATACTTTCACTTCAGGATCTTGAAAACAAGATCCCCAGGTGCACCCCACACCTGATCAAAGTGTTTTATTTTTGAATTCATTGTCCTTTTGTGCCGATTCGGGCACAATTGGCTTAATCCACAGTAAACTACCATCTGAAAAGCTCAATTAAATGTCATGATCTCCTGAAACCTTTGATAGTCCCTGAAGTTGAGAAAAGTAGCAATGAAAGTCTGGTATCTTTATCAGAAAACTTGGAAAAGCAAATGATAGTTGAAATTATCCAAACTAAAGAATACATAAGTGTGCTTTTCTCTTAATTACACTTGAATTAAATTATTTCAGTCTGAGAAACCTTTCTTCAAGCTCACCTTTCTCATTTACAAAAAATCCTCTATACGCCTGCTTCATTGGATCTTAACTTTTGCGAAAAAGCTGACAGTTTTTAAATGCCTGCCATGAAGCTTTCTGCAAAAATCTTACAAAACTTTGCCTGTCTGCAGAGAATTTTGTGGAAATTAGTTGGTCTGCTAACATTTTTTAGGCAATTTGCTGGTCCACAGGCCCAAAAGGGTTGGGGAACACTGGCTCTAGCTTATTTTCCTCACCATCACTTCATCAAAAATATTGTAGGAGAATATTAAGGCAATCTGTCTTTTTTGCAGCAAGCTTATTCAAGATTTATCAAATGTTTTCCACAAGATTTTGGTCATAAATTTGATAAATACCACAAATATCATTTAAAATTGCTTGTTATAAAAATATTTTCATATTCGTCCTCCAATGGGAGTCTGGTCTTGTGAAATTTCACTGTAACTGATTTGATCTCATAACATGTAGCTTCATCTATATGCAATATTCACTTGCTGTGCACAAAAAAAGGAAAGGAACGAGAAAAAAAGGAACACGAAACTTCGTCAGAAAGTCAGCCATTTTTTAATTCAAGAGCATGATGATTTCATGCAGGCTGCCCTTGTGGAACTGGTGGGGGGGATCCTGGCAGCACTCAGCCTGGTAACCTCGGGGATCCAGCGCAGTGTCGGCGCGAGTTCGCATGAACGCCTGCCTGCTGGAGCTG